AAATTTTTATAGGGATATGAAAAGTTTTGTAGGGACATAATAAATCAAACTGTGCACAAACCCTGTCTGCATTAACCAGTGTTATGTAAAAAATACTCCGACGTTCCCATATACTGTATGTTGTTCTGATATGATATCACACCCATATATGGGCAAGATGATGATGTCATCACACCCATATATGGACATGAGTGTAATAGTACACCCATATATGGGCAAATCATATAGGTATTTGTCACACAAAACATTAGTGCTGTTACATGATAATAATTATTTGACATTCAACATTTTTATTTTTATTTGAGAACAATTTTCAAGAATTAATTTGGAAAGAGTATTATTTAGGCCAAAAATTTAAAAAGAAGGTGAGTGAATTTATCTTTATTTTTTGCCAGATGCCCTACAAATTAGTTTAAAGTAGCTGCCTGATTTAAGATATTGCCATTCTAGGCCTCTGTGGGTTATTTTTATTCCATCTGATAATAATGAAATGATGAGTATCTTTAATGATGAGTATCTTTAAAAAAAAAAACTTTTTCCACCTGCCCCTTTCATCATTTTAAAGAAGGGCAACCAAACAATTAATTTTTTTAGGCCTTATCTTTTGTTTTCTTGAAGAAATATTTGAATTGAAAAATTGAATATTTGTTTGATAAGAAGTTTAATTTAATTATTAAACCAGATGAGATGCCTTCACTCTTGAAAAGAAAATTACTGATACCGGTAATTATTCCAGCCAGATAGCAGGAAGTCCTCGTTAAATTGAACAGAAATCATGCAAAGCGTTGTTCATTCACATCCCAGAAGATCTAGAGTACTGTCAACACTATATGGTTTCCATATGACAAATACCTATAATTTGTCCATATATGGTTGGGCAATGACATCATCATTTCCATATATGGGTAAAATTCAGGTATTTTATCCCAGAAGATTTAGAGTACTGTGACACTATTAAGGTTTATATATCACAAGTACCTGTAAGTGTAATTAGCCCATATATGGTTGGGCAATGACATCATCATTCCCATATACATCCCGTACTCTGCATTCATCTCATAAATTCCTCCGTCATATCCCTAAATGGAAACTCAAGTGATATGGTCATCGTGCATTCTCTTGTGCAGCACCTACTTTATGGAATACCTTACCAATAAAACTTCGGAAAGCGTCAACATTTTCAAAAAACCGTCTGAAAGCCTACCTGTTCTCGGGAGCATTTCAAATTTAACTTTGTCGAGTGCCTTTGAACATTATTAATGGATACCGGTGCTATATAAATGCATTTGATTGACTGATTGATTGATTGATATAATGGGTAAATCTTGGTTTTTTTTATATTAAACTTCGTAGTGTAGACAAAGCTTATGAATATGTTTCAGTTGTGGCTTTTCTTTATGAAACTAATTTGTTATTTTTCTATTGTAATGGGGTTTTTTTGTATATAAGAGTATACAGTATTTGGAATAATATCAATAATTTTCTTGTAATTGATATTTAATTATTAAGTTGCATTTTTTTTATTTTTTTATAAGAACTTAATATTTTTGCAGTTTTAATGTTTTTCTAAGTATTTTTTATAATGGTGATATTTGTAATTAAAGATGTACTGTCCCTTGAAAATGACTAAAATCATAAAAAAATATTTTTTTAATTACAAAAATATAAAAATTAACTAAAGAAGGAGCACACTTCAACACAATCATTGATAAAAGAAACACGGAAAATCATTGATAAAAGAAACACGGAAAATACTGTACATACAAAATAAGACTACAAATTTTAAAAAATATACCATTGAAAATTAAAGGTATGGAGTAACTTTCATACAGGCATACTCCTGAACAAATATACAAATTATACAGTATACTGCCTGTATAATTGTAAGGGGTCGCCCCAAATATCATTACTTTCACAAGTGCACAAACAGGGGGGGGGGGGGGGGGGGGGGGGGGGGGGGGAGATTAATTTATATGCTTTTACATATGCAGGAACTTACAGATTATAGTGCAATCATGGATATAATGTACATTAGCCTATGTGCAGGTGATCAAATATAATAATTTACTATAGTTAGTTGTTTTGCAATATCCATATCAAAGGAGGGGGTAACAGAGAACAGTATGCTTGTATGTTTGTGAAAGTGCTGACAGTTGAGAATGAGCCTTAACAAAGCAAAAGGGGACGAGAAAAAAAATGAAAACAATTAAATTGAAGTCGAAAAATTCCATTAAACTACAACAAAGATAAAAAACAAACAAACATAAACATAATTAAAACATTTTAATGCAACAATACATTTGGTTTGACAGACTAGTTTGAACAGACTTAATCTCTGAATGCTTGTACCATGCAATCTTGGAATAATTTTTACAGTATTTATCAAAGGCTTTTAGAGCACCTGCACTTAGGAATGTATTTCCAACTCCAAGAACAAAGTGAAGTTTCTTATCTAAGTCTGAGGATTGATATATTTGCCAGATATTGGGATCTTCACATAATTCTAAATTAGATTTCAGAGTGTTAATTTCTTTGTTTCTTACATCCTCTAAAGCACTACAATTAAAAAGAAGGTGTTTAGTGTCCTCAATATCCCCACTGTTACATAATGCGTAATGCCCTGAACTTTCACTTGACCATTTACTTGTTTTTCCGTCCAATGGAAGTGTATTAGACATCAGCTTGAACTTGAGACTAACACCTTTAAAATCAGATATATCAAGAAGATACCATCCTAGATCTAATGTGGTTTTAAGTTTGGCATAATCAGCCAATGAGGATTTTTGTTTAATGTTTTCTAACCATTGGTTTCTTGATATATCCAATATGCATTTTTTAACAATGTTAAATGAGTGAGTGTTTAAAGGCACCTGATCATTATAATTATGTTCAAGCACATGTTCAAAAAATGTTCTTGCTCACATTGATCAAGGAACCTTTAAGCACCACTTAAAAATTTAATAATATTTATGTTACTTTAAAATGGGCAAGTAAATTTCAAAAATGATTTTTATGATTTTTTTTTGTATTTTTCTTTAATATATATTTTACTGTACAATAGTTCATTTTTTTTAAATTTCTATTTTTTTTTATTTTAATTTTTTTGTAAGCAAATGTTTTAAGCCATTGCCTGCTGTTTTCTGTTTTATTCCAAACTAAATAAATATGTTATAAAATGATAATGTTATATTTTTATTTACCTAATCATTTCAGTAATATTAGACAGTACTCTAGTAATAATAATAATAATAATGAAATTTAATTTATTCCATATTTGTAAATTCACTGTAGAATATGATATAGCACTAGGTACAACTTACTTGCACAGTCTGGCCCAAATGCTAAAGTAAGAGAGAGACGGGCACTCCGGCCTGCTTCAGGTTTCGAGTCTTTACATTTACCTTACAACTTACTAAAGAGACAATAAGTTGAACAGATTTTTCAAAATTATAAAGTAAAGCACTTACAAAAAAATCATTAAGCAAACAATGAAATAACTTGGTTTTACTCATTAACTTAAAATATTTCAGCAAAACAAAGCAATTCATTTCCTTCACTATAGTATTATTTAAAGTATAACAAATAACTTATATTGTAAATGCATTTCTCAAGAGCTCTGAGGTACTGTAGTTTACAATAGATTATTTAACATTTGTATAGAATGCTGGCTGTTTGCCAAAGTTGGACTGGATTTAATAACTTTACACAGGGCGTGTGCTGGGGTGGAAGTAGAGTTGAATCACTCCAGGCCAGCGTTTGCTTCACCCAGCCATGCCGGTAGCTTCTTCACCCAGCTTAGGGGCAGCAGGCTCCTGTAGGATGACTCAATCTAGACATGGCTTCTGTTCTTTAACCAAAACTTAATTGTCAATTCAAAAAAAACCTTTCTTGGCCCATAGATTTCTGTATAATTCAATAATAAGCGAACATCTTCCTCCCTCGTGGCTCTGGTTTTCCCATTAACGTAGTCATATTTAAAAGATAATGTGACCTTTAGCAGGACATATTTTGAGACATTTTTAAAAATGTTTTTTGATTGATCTGCAACAGGTACAATCTATTTGTAGGCACTTGTGAGGGCAGTATTGAACTTTGCATTTCTTATTTCCTCCTTTTGTTGAAATCATGGAGAAATATTCTCCCATGTTGAAATTAAAGCAAGGTTTCAAAATTCTAATACTTAGTTTAGATTTTGTTTCACCTAGGCTTTAGAACGACTTCATATTTTCAGTCTAGCATTAAGATGTAAAAATTAACATTGTGCATAGATAATTTTAATATTACATATATAAACAATATTGCTTTACTGAAGGCAAAGTTTATATATGACTTTTGCTGTTCTCACGTCATAATATGTCAACAAAATTAATATTCGATTGTGAACGTATTTTGTCAGGCCTCTACTGGTGATTATTCGGAAATATGTATGTTTTTAACAAGCCAAGTCTTGTTTTTCTAGTTCCATCCCAATTGCCAAGGCATAAAGGGTGTCACTATAATGAAAATCATTCCCATCAACTGTAATGAAACACGAACAAACCTATGAAATTTATTTTTAGAACATTACTTCCCGGGTTTTGTACTTCCCGGGTTTTGTCCTTAACCTCCAGAGCGAGAGTTCACGTTCTGGCAACCACTGCCGGCGATTTATATGCAATACAATAGTGGTATGTTTAGACAGGTGTGGACATGAACTCGCATCCTTGGTGCCCTGGGTGAACCCTGTCGGACTCGCATCCCTTTTAGCCAACATGTTACACAACAGTCTTGAGCTTTCTCCGCATCACCTGCTGTCCAAAATGTGTCTGCTTCTTAATCTCTCTCACATGTTACTGGCGTAATTTCTTACTGTACCATCCATTTTTAGCCGCACTAAACTCAGACTTGTTTAGTCAGTGTTTTATGTAATTTCTATACCAAAATTGCGACTAGTACAAATATTTCAAAGTTTATTTTACGTTCATATAAACTCATTGTTTTTTTTAGCAGAATCCATACCTTCCAGACTCAACTATAGAGGGGGCTATTGCATTTAGTATATTTGGATAATGTCATTTTTAATCTTTTGTTTTTTCAGGCCATCTGATGCCAAGAGTAAATTGACCCCAGCTCATCCATTGGAGTATTCTGAAAAGCATGTAAGCATGGCTACTGAAATACTGTAGTGATTTTTTATGCTTTATAGTATTAAAGCCAGAAAAAAAAAAGCCAAAAAAAAAAAAAACATTTTTGATATTTTGTAAACTGATTTTTTTAAGACACAAAGAGAGTGTTTAACGTTTTAATTACAGATTTTGAATATTAAAAACATGGAGGAAAAGTTCGGAAAAAGGGTGGAACCGAAGAAATCCGAATCCAGTCCAACATTTTAGAATAAGTGAAATCCGAAACAAAATTTACTCTCACTCAGTCATAAATTCACTGACTGAAATAGACATCTGATAATTTGTAAAATGAATCAGGCAAATAATAAGACATACTTAACTATACCTTTCTTCGAGTAGGATGTTAAGAATTAAATTAATTTAACAATTTTTGGATTTGTCGCTTTCCACATGCCTAAACACATTATTGTTCTGAACATCATTCATAGAATATGTGAAACCTCAAACTTATAGGGGAAAGTAATAATTTATATTGTAGAAATTACAGTGTGAATATAAAAATATAGTATAAATAAGTATAACTAATATACATTAATTATTTTTATCAGTATTCTAGTAGAAACATAGAAAGGGGGAGTTGAATATGTGTAGTCTCAAACTTATAGGGGACAGTAATAATTTATATTGTAGAAAAGAAAAATATAGTATAAATAAGTTAATATATCTTGAGGATATTTCCCACACGATTAAAATCGTAACGGTACTGGTTTGGTCTACAGGAATTCGTGTTTCGTACAGGTCATTCCATTCATAGAAAAAGTCTTTATATTGGAGAAAACGTACCTGTCGTTAGCCATAGTAATATACATTATTTTTATCATCAGTGTTATTGTAGAAACCAAGAAATGGAGGTGGAGAGGGGGCCCAGCTCAGACAGTATCATATGAACCAGCCTGACACAATTTGTTGTCTGTGTGAGTTAAACGCTGAAACGATAGGTCTGCGTCGGGGACAGGTGTGTCGTTGAATATTAAACATGTTTATTCTCACGATGACCTAAGGACTGTCCGCGATAATAAATCACGTTGGGCTGTGTCGTACAACACCATCCAACACACTGAGTTGGCTGTTAGATTGAAAGTAGGGGGCCTAAGTTTCTACTAATTCAAGACTATTCTGAAGTTTTCTGTTTTTTTTTTTACTTTTCCTTCTTTTTTTCAGTATGTTGAAAACCAGCAAGAAATCACCATGCAGATGCTACGAAACACACAGGGACTTCATGCACCTCTGAAGCTAAGGTTAGAGCAACACATGCTCAAACAGGTAAGTGCCTCCTAGCTTACTGATTATTATTTTTTTAACTACCTAATATACTGAGTATCATGCTTCTTCTAATTGTATTGTGTTACTCATGGTGATGCCTACGCCGGCTGACGTGGAAGCAATTAAAAAAACATTCATTTTTCAAACAAATTAAAATTACAAAATATTACATTTCTTGAAACAAGTTTGAGATTTGGAATCCTAAAAAGCAGAGCTTGAGGGGGACTAAAAAAGACAGAAAAAAAAAACAACACTCGATTGAAGAAAAAAGAACAGCACAAGACCTGAAGGAGGAAAGGGGTGACGAGACTGGTGACAAGACCAGACAAACAGACAAAAGACAAAACAGACAAAACAAGGATGCTTAAAAATGCAGATTATTTTAAAAGGACAAATAAAGTGAAAGAGTTTGTAATAGGGATCGGTGAGGGGTAAAGGGAAAGGAAAATTATTTTATAATCTGTTTCTTCAGTCTCGAACTGAGCTTTTCTTAATACTGTTCCTTAGTAGAATTTAAAAAGGGGTTGGGGAGATTGTTCCACCAGTATATTAGATATTCTGCTGGAAGGAAGTGGTTTTGTGAAGGGGAAAATGTAGATGAATGGTAACATGTAGAATTGTCAATACAGTATTGTATTAAAAACATTATGCAAATATAATTGTGGGTATTGGGCTACCATAAGCCTACCGGCAGACTTTAGCTTTCACCCAGGAGTGCTGGAGTCCGTTCTAATTTTGTTGGGAGACTATCACTCACTGCTTGATAAGATAATGGGGTAAAAGAAACTTTCTTTCATTTGAACTTTAGATACCTAAAGGACCTTGTATTGCAAGTACAAATGTTGGTCTTGAAACCTTGACCGGAGAAGACGAAACCATTGATGTCAAGGATGTTTTTAATGGCAAGTATCCCAATATTATGACATTTTTATTTCCTTTTTATTTCATCTGTTTTCAACACCAAAGCCATTGCCAGTCCTTCTTCCTATCAGCCATTGCTCATCCTTGCACGAACCATCATCATTTCTCAAACTTCTTCAACACATTTAACATCTAATTAGACATTGATCAAAAGAAATTATATTCCCTGATGTAGTACCATTATAAGGGTTTACTCTATGCAGAGAATATAGAAATTGTAATATTTAGAGCCGAGTACTCACCGCGCTTCACGGTCTTCGGCTGACAAGATTCTGTTGGGAACACAACACCATGATGCGCACCAACGGATCATTCTTTTAATGACGATCCGTTCAGGCAGCCACCGACAATAAGCAGACGGTGTCACGTCATCAAGCGCCCAATGGGAGTGGAGTTCGTCAGCCTATGGTCGTACGTCGTATGACGCAGTGAACGCCCGGCTTAACTGCCTTATTTGGATTCTAATTTCTAAACGCTGATGCTGAACTGCATCATGATTTTCTGCACACGCTGCAGAAATCTTTCGATCATTGGTTTCAATCTCAGCTTCTTCCACCAAACTCTAAATCTTGCTTGATGTCATTTTCCTAGTAGCTTTAAATAGATCTTTATTTAATGCCTTTTCCGTGTGGGGTTCCAATTATAAAGAAGTTTAAGAATCCATTTACTCCATGCATGTGGCAAAACATTTCTAGTTGACTTTTTCTCGAAATGGATGCAAGTTGCGGTTGTTTAGTCCTGGATCTGATAGTTTTATTGGAGATATGTTGTGACGAAACTGTTCGCAGAAACTTTCTTTGGCATCTCATATCAAAAGCGTCAAATCTTGCTTTGTCTTTTTCTGAGAAAGCCCAGCATTCAGCAGCATAGGGAAGGGTGAAGAGTAAACACAATTGTGAAGGGTGAAGAGTAAACACAATTGTGTTACAAAATTATATTTTTTGTTAAAAGTTATTAACATACTTTATATACATTTTTAATATTAAAAATGTTTCCTCTGGTTTCCTCTATATTGAGTTTTTGGTGTTTTTTGATTCTGTATTAAGTCTTCTTTAAAACAGTGTTTATTTGATGGAAATTAGTTGGGTATTATTGAAGTTATGGATATTTAAATTATTGGATATCAGCCATGTAGATTTTGAGGAAGCATTTCAAAATCAGTAGTTTATTATTGAGATTTGTATTACAAAAATAATTTTAATATTTTTTCAATGATTAAAATTTTGCATAAAAGTTCAATTTATCTCCTTTTATAAAATGCAAAAACATGAAAATCTTCAAAATTCTAATTCTAATGATGAATGGTTTGGGTGATTGTGGAAAATTCGAAATTGTGACAAATGGAGGGTTTTGCCAGAGCCTGTCAAATACAAGTTCTTTAGAGAAATTTCTTCAAATAAATCAATACTCGCTGTTATTTTGTGGATGACAGTTTCGCCCAACTTTCAGTTGGGTTTTGTCAGGTCTGAAGAACTGTCAGTTGGGTTTATATTTTTCAAGTTTATTGACTTGACACATAGAGTTAGTTTCTTGATAAACTTTTCACTTACAAATTCAAACAATCCCCCTTAAATATCTTTCGTTCACCATTTTTCCCAAAGCGAATTAATTTTTCCCGCCCTGTCAAGAAGCATGCCGATTATGTAATTTGTCGGCATTCTCAACAGGCTTTCGCTGTCTCACAAGATTTCATGTGTAGGGCTAGTCTAAGTGGCGTAATACATGCGTCTGCCTCGTCGTTAATATATAGGAAGTATGGCAAGAGATTGAGTGTGTCGCAACACCATTATCTTTCCTGTGGCGCGTTCACTTAATGCGTTCATGCAGAAAGTCCATTGACTTAAAATTTTTCTAACCTTGTCTACTACTCACAGTTAATTCTGCATGAATTTGAATAAAATCTACTTTAAATTCTTTAGTTTTTACAACCTGAAAGTATCGATAACTTTATCAACGAAGTCGTCTTAAATCATATGACCTTTACACTTGTCGTACGTGGTGTCCTGTGCAACAAACATTTGAATGCAGTTTTGACCTTTACTTTCCTGAACATTATATTGTATTTTTACCCTTTATTTACTTGTCAAATTTCATTCCATTTTTTTTTTTCAAGCTTATATTAATTTTACAACATAATTTTAATCTTGATTTTCATTTTTTTTTTAGCTCCTTATGATGCTGAGGTCATGGGTCACCCACAAGCAATGATGGAGAGGAAACTTGGACTGCTATGAACACCACCATCTATGTTGAACCAGCTTTAGTTTAGCCTTTCACGTACAGGCATCTTTTCCTATTTGTCTGAAATTTTATTATTTTGGACTACTTCAAATATGTTAAACTATTAGTATGAAAATTAAGTCAAGTATATATAAAATGTCGGAGTGCTTTAGATGTGCACTCCTGGAATCAAGATTAAGAAATGGACTAACAAGTAAAAACTCAATACTGAAATGCTAACTCTGTATTTAGGAAACCACAACATGTCATTCAAGCAGTTCGTTTCTACACGTTCACACACTGTTGCTATTAAACAACATAGTGCGCAGACTTCAAATCCAACAGTGAGCCCTCATAATTCGGACTGTTTAGTATTATACTACGAACTGCTCAGTTAAGTAACATGCTCATGGGACAGATGTTGCGCTACAGTTTTTTTTAAGCCAATAAAGAGAATGATGTTAGCTATAGCTCACATCCATAGCCATTAGTGATAATTTCGTCAATCAACGAATCAATCTCCATTCGTTGTCCATTTGAGCACTTGAAGATGCACTGCTGTCTGCTGATTGTCGATGGAAGACTGTCATCGACAATCATTAGAAATCATCTGTTACGCACATTGTTGCATTTAATTCTTCTCCAGACTTAATAATAATCGTGAAGTAATGATGAAATATCGTGAAGTAAATTTGCTGGTGTTGTAGTTGCAACAAGTACTCAAATGACAGTTTCCATTCCTCTGTTTTTATGATGTTTTACTACAGTAATTACTTCATTATGTTTGCTTGAAATGTCACAAAAGTTAGAATTACTGTTGGTATAATTCCACCTCTGATATAAGCCTACCCTCAGTCTTACTCCCAATTTTACGTACTAGCCTTCCCTCGGGCAAAAGTCCAGGGTACAGTATGGTTTGAATGAGTACTGTAACTAACCATAGTTTTATAAACAATCTAAAAAGAAAATGAAATATATTGGTTTTGAATTAGGCATGCAGTACTGAAAAATTACCTTTTGATTGAAATAGGGATTCCCCGGGTATAAACCAACCCCCCTCCCCCTCCCCCTCCCAACATCATCCCAATTTTGTGTTGAAGGGGGTGGACTCTTTACCTTTTAATATGTTTAATTGACATTTTTGCTGAAATGTTGATGACTGAAAAGAAAGTAAAATAATTGAATCTCATTATTAAAATATGTGCACTTTAGTGTTTTTTTGTATGTTTTGAAGGTTAAAACATTTATTTACAGCATAATGATGATTTTGGAACCCTTAATGTTCTCTAAAGAAGTGTTGTAAAACCTTGGGTAGTGGAAGGGCTTTGTGAGAAAAATTCTGCAAACAACAATTAAGTCAGCACTTGGCATTGACGTCCAAACAGAAAATGAATACAGTTATATTTGAACAAGTGCCCCACTTTTAATAATTATTATTTGGTGTTTCATTTCATTCATTGCTTTAGCAGCAAAAATAAAATCTTGAATCTAGAGAACATAAGCAGTATAAATCCGTGAGGTAAGCAAACCAAGGTTCAGAGAAATGCATTGCAAAATTTACGAACATCGTAGCAATTTACGAACATCATAACAATAGAAAAAACGTACCTATGCAAAAAACGTAGTATGCTGTAGAAATTTTACAGAGAAAATAACCACATAGAGGGCGGTATCACATCCATTAATTTTCATCATAAAAGTAAAACGAGATAATATCAATAATATGGATTCATTATTTAGCTGATAATCAATTTAATGATGTGCTAAATAAAAAGTCTATATCAGCAAAAATTAAAATATAATGTCTGTTTCAATATTGGCTTGGGTGTGTGGTATGTGACAAATACGTATAGTACTGTATCTTAAATCGAGTACTGTAGTAGTGAGATCTTCTATTACAGACATTGACTTCAATATAAAATTAATTTCGGTTACACGTCGTGGTATAGAGGCTATATGACAGTACAACGATACCGAATAATTTTATTTATCAGTCATTTTATTAGAATTGTTTGCGTCGATCTCGTCAGTATCTGTCATAGCGCATCTGAGCTCTTACGAGAATCGATGATCACAAACATTACTAAAGATTCCAGCGATTAATTATACAGTACAGTATATTATTTTTATATTATAAACAATTATAAGCATTATTCGAATAAACTCGCAGACGTTTATTGTTGAGAAGGGTTTTGGAGGGAGCCTTTTTCTTCGTGTAAAATGAATAGGTATATACCCAAATAAACGCCCCTTAATTTCACTGTAAATGTGGAACACGTAATTACCGTCAAAATGTGTTATTGCATGTTGTTGAAAGATTGATCCCAACCATGGCTCTAGAAAAAAAAATGTAATATTACTGGAGTAGAACATTATTAGAAGGTATTCAGAATGATGAGGAAAAATAAATGCTTCGCGAAGCGTTTTTTTTTTTTAATACCGTACTCGCGCGAATAAGCGCCCGGGCGCTTAAAATATTTTTTGCACTTTCTGAGGGGTGCTTCTTTAAACAGGGCGCTTATGAAAACAGAGTGGAAATTGAGGGGCGCTTATGGAAATGATGAAAATCGAGGGGTTCTTATGGGAAATTATTAAATTCAAGAGGCATTTTTTGAAAGAAAAAAAAATTAGTCCTATATAAGGACATTACGAATGGTGGTTAGGCGGAAAAGATGATCGTCCAGAGAACATGGCTCATGACAAGAATGTGTGAATATTTACATAACAGCAAAATAGCAGATGCAATTAGTGGTGGTGGGTAGTGGTTATGCTTGTTGACGATCGGCCCGATTAAGATTAGCAGGATGGCAGGATCATTGTATTTTTTCTTGAAAAATCAGATGAAAATGTGTTAAAGGTCAGGGAAAAAAAGAGGAGTAGGACTAGACGCAGGGTTCCCGGAACGCCGCCCTCAGCGGCGAGTGCGAAGCACAACTCGGGCTCAAAAGTGGAACGTGAAATTTGGATATGTTTTTGTAGTCAGATTTGCGAGAAAAACTTCAGCTACCCGTATCTGTCTCTTATACACATCTAGATGTGTATAAGAGACAGGTATAATACTTAAACAAGTTACATCTGTAACTTAATTATCCTTAGTTTTTTTTTTTTCTTATTTTAATTTATTTCTTCCGAAAGTGTACTTTCTATCACATATAATTCCACTGTCTTAGTTAGGCCTAGTCTTATGCCTCATCGTCCCCCGCTACACAGTACATCAGCAGCCCCTCCCCCATACAGTACAGTTTGCTAGGTAACAACGTGATTGCACCTTCCTTCCCAGGTGTTCATGTAACATTGACATAATTGTTAGCTAACCAGTTGTGTGTATTTCTTTGTGAAAATGAGTACCGCGGCGTACTCATTTTCACAAAGCATTTGCATCTCCTCTTGGAAAGAGGGATTCGAAATAATTGTCTCCATATCTTCGCTAATTGAATTAATCACCGTAATTTAGCTTACACATATGAATTTAGGGAGCACTTAAAATGTGAATAATCATTTCACTACCCGACAAACTCTGAACTTTATTAATTCATTAGGCATAATAGTTTCATGTTGCTGTACTATATACTCCAACATCACTGGCGCATGGTAACAACCAACTGACTGCAGACCATTTCCGGTCACACATTACTCTCCATAACACAGCACCCCCTAGTTCCGTCACCTCTGGGTATAGACAAATATGTAAAAAGAGTAAAGTTGGAAATATACTGTCTGTCCAGGGATCGAAGCTCTCATCTGTCCAAGTGATAATATCCTCATTTTGATATTGACTTATTCGCGCAAGTACCGGTACGGAACATAACCTACGGTATGTATACGGTACCTTATAAAGGCATTCATCAGCATAATGACAATGAAAATAAATATTAGTATATAGGCCTCGTAATGAAATTTTAGAGTGCTTTCGTGCAACTTTAAAAAAGCTCAATTTATCATCAGCCAAGAAACTGAGAAATACGGAGAAGCCCTACATAAAACCAAGTGTAAGGAGAAACGAAATAGGTTTATCACCAAAACAAGTTCATAAATTGTCGGCGACACCAAAGAAACAATGAGATGTCTACAGCCGTGTATTCCGGACACGATAACATTGATGGACAGTGTTGATTTTACTGACGTCATCAACGACGTTATAAACTACTGAAATTCGTGCAGGCATCCAGTGATGGATGAGCGTTGGTATCATTGACAGTACACAGCAGTCGGTCCAGATTTCGTTTGCGTTTGCGGTATTTTTAGCAGCAGTAGGCCTAAAGTATCATAATTCCCCCATTATTGTACCATCACGGGTCCTATAATAGGCCTAATTAGTAGGATCTCAACGAACGCGTGCCCAACTGATGACGTCAGCATCCAATTGCTGACGACATCCTGAATGGTGTTATTGAGACGTCCTCGTGGTTGATTGTCATCAGGATCATTCATTTTATTTGGTTTTAAGTAATTTTGTTAGTTATTTTCAAGTGCAGTAATGTCAAAGGACAAACGTAATAGAGCAAAACAGATTACTAAAAATTGCTATCCTTAGGATCGGGCGTCTAAAGCCTGGTTTCCATACAATCGCTACATTGTCGCTTCAGTGCAATCGTTGTACTGCGTTGCAGCCAACCGGCCAATCAGCGCATCACCGAAAACAGTCGACGATAGCATGTAGCGTTTGTATGGAATCAAGCTAAAACCGAACTGATAACTACTGTTATCAAAAAAGTCTTTACCCGATAAATCAAAACAGTAATTTTCTGAAAAAAACATTGTACCAAATTTAATTCAAACTTAATAATAATCATGATATTACAGGCCTGTAGCGTGGGGGTGGGGGTTAAGGGGGTTACGACGAACCGCCCAAAAACTGGAGAAGGTCCGCATTTAAAAACGAAAAATTGGTATTAGTTAATAGGCCTATATTTACAGTGTTCTCCAGAGTATGTCGGAGATGAGCATCCACTTTCCACCGAAACGAACCTTCCAGTGGCGGCGCCAGGATTTCCCCGGCGGAGGGTCCAAGGTCCCCGACGGGAGGGCTGATGTCCCCGACGAGAAAAAAGTGGGCGTGGTCGGGCGCCTCTAAAAACCTTTCAAAAGTATGACAATTTAAGGGTTTCAAAGGCTTATTTAATCGATTTTAGAGTCTATTAATATGTACAAAATACATATAATTTTTTTGAATTTTTTTTTCTCCCCGACGAATTGTGGTTTTTTTCTCCGACGGGGATGCCGCCACTGGAACCGCCCACAAATTAAGTCACGCTACGGGCGGGCCTGTATTATTAGTTCACATATATTTGTGTGGAACATACACGATGCTGGCGAAAGCTTGCGTATAGTGCTGCCAGTATTCATTTTAAACAAAAAACCATTAAAGAACAGGCCCGTAAAAATGTTCCAAAATGATCTTGATCTTGATAGTATACGGTACTCCGGCTAGCTGGAGTATCACTCAATGGTTGAAAAGTGGCGACAGAGGAGGGACTAGTCATAGTTAGCAATTTGCTTACAAAAGCAACAGAATTATTAATTGAGGTAGAGGAATATAAAGGAGGGCGTTCCAGTCTTTAGCTGTGTTGGGGGGAAAATGAGTGATTTGTCTTGGCCTTTGGTAATGAAAGGGGGTTATGGTTTCTAGTGCACCTGGCAGTCGCTGGTCTGTTGAATTCCATGTGGTTACTTGATCATAATGTTGATGATACGATGAAAATGATGATCATAATGCATTGCTACCTGGAAATTGAATAAATTGAAAGCAGGCATACTTACGATCTCAAAATGATCCCTTAATATAACAGAAATATGTACATAAGTATATATAAATAAAAATATGATCATGATGATGATTATGACGATAATGATGATGATGATGATAATGTATTGTTACCTGGAAATTGAATAAATGGAATACAGTACAGTATAAATATATGGATGAAATAGTAATTGGACAATAAATATTACTTATTTAACGCAGCAAATGGCCTCAGCTGCTGGTTCTAAAGAGATTGGCGCCACCAACGGTACATAATTCCTTTAAAGTTTTTTATTTCGACGATTTGTACACAAAAATGCAATCATGGCCGAATTCGACACGATATACGAAGAGGACAGTGAGGAAAGTGATGTTTACCCGGTAGAAATGAGTATCAACACTTTGCCAGATCCAATAATTATAAGAGGAACTGGTTATGTCACCGTGTAAGTTAAAATTGTAATTAGTTAGTGTGTTGTAAATGCCGGTTTGATCCAAGCCGTCGAGCTAGGCCTAGCTAGGAGGCCTAGCTAGGGTAGGTAGGATATAACAATACAGCAGAGTAGTCTAGCCTACAGTAGGCCTAGGCCAAGTAAACTGTAAGTAGGGCCTAGCCTTAGCCTACTAAGACCTAGACTAGCCCTATGCCAGTTGTGGATCGGGGAAAGAGGAAAGTTATTATAATCGCTCTAGAAGTTGTCTGGACGCTAATGAACTTTAGTACTCCACCCTAACCCTAACATTAGGATAGCAAGATTGAAGTTGAGGTTAAGGTAGGCTTAGAGGTGGAGTACTAAAGTGCATTAGCGCCGTTGTCTGTATGTATGCGCTAGGCCTAAACCGAGAGTAACTAGAATCATATCGATCAACAAGAGATAATTAAATTAGAATGACAGACAGACACTGACTACTGACTACTGAGCACAAATTTGTCAGCATTTGTCCAACAATACTCAATCATTCTATTCACAATGAGAGACTTTAATACTAATTAGGAATATATTATTGTTTATGTAAAGGCTCAGAGCTTTTTTTTATAATTTAATTTTTAAATTGCAATTTGTCTATATTTCTTGTTTATTATTAGCTATGCAGTATGTTCTATTTACAAAATTGTTTATAAATAAATTATTAATTGACTTTTATATATATCAATTTAACAAATATTCATGAATCACTAAAATTTCTATCAAATGGCATTAGAGGATGTCATATAACTTATAACTAAAAGTGTACCATGTGCTTTTTAAAAAAAATTATTCATATACAAAGTACTGTTATTATCACACTTTTCAAAGTAAAGAAGTTCTTGTCATCAGCATAGCTCAGTTGGCTGAACTGCAGAGTTCAGTGGCGGTACGCTGGTGTGTACGCTGAACCATGGAGTTCTCTTTAGTCCTTTGGTCAGTTCTCATCGCTGCTTTTGTGTTTTGTTTAGCTGGTGGGCTGAAAGACAAGTATAAAAAGTGCACCGTCTTTCAGATGAGCGGGTTAAGCTGTTTGGTCCTGTGTGCAAAATGGGCCACATGCATGTTACAGAACGCATTGCACTACTATAAAAGAATAGGGGATTGATTCTACAGTCGACCCTGCTCAATCAACACTAGAAGGACTTCACTAGAAGGAAGTCTTCTTCTGGCTTTTGTAGGTTATCCTCTGGTGTTTGCACCGTCCAAATCAGTGTTTAATCAAGAGATGTGAAAACGATACAATAAAAACTCATTACTGTACTATTGACCCAGGGAACAAGCTTCCTTAAGCACCAAGATTTTACACCCCATGCTTCCTGTTCAGATAAGCCATTAAAAATTGTTTCCTTTTCATTGGTACTATAAAAACTTGTTGATACTGGATGTGTTAGAGTGTTAAATAACATTGCCAGTTATGATACCAGGATTTTTCCTTATATGTAACAACTTGCAATTGAATAATTAAGAGTATGTATCCTTGGAATTCTGCTCAGAAAAAAATCTGTGGGTAGATAGCACCACTCCTTTGGGATATCCCTGTTAAGGGGACACGGACACCCCTATTTAGGGGCCACTTTTTTGGTCAAAAAATGAATGGAAGGTATATTAACACCACAGACAACCCCTATACAGGGGTCACCTCTATAGTTAAGGAGACACATTTTTTTTGGTCCTGAAGATGTCTCCTAATAGGGGTTCTACTGTAATTTAGCACCAATATCCACACAGTATGTTAAAATTCATTGGTGGTCACTCAGATGATAGAAGGACTATGTTTTCAGTGAAAATGTATATTGGGGAAAGTGTACTGAATGTTTTGTGGAGTGGAAAGGTTTATGAAATTACAAGCGGTTACAAGCGGCAACCATTTTTAGCACGGAGTATTCTGGATTTGAGGTTAAGCTGAAGTCCATCCATGAGGATTACTAATTGTCTAATCTTGCTGATAAACAATATTGATTGAACAACTTTGAACAGAATTATACGGTAGGCCTACTGTTCAGTCCTGTGTCTGTAGACATTTCAACATACTACTGTACTGTACCTGCTTGCCTACCATTAAATTGTAGGCCTAGTGAATGGTCATTGAATAATTCATGTGGTTAGTCTTGTTTTCCTTTCATTATGATTCAACCAAAATAATACGGATATTTGATCCCAAGTGAAGTTCCTTCTAATGACTATTGTTTTTAGTTTGAAAGTAATTTCACCAGTCAGATGTTTGCGGCTGACTGTTCTTTAGCCATTTTCATAGAGGTTTTAGCAATATTATGGTAAAATACCAGTAAACTTACTGACATGGATCATTCACACCAATCAAATATTGCGATAATATATATATGCCGTAATATAAAGCCTTTCTGTATGAATAGATCACGCATACTGAGAGACTGCCATTGATTAATCTTTTTTTCATCACTGACCGAGGGCATGCTTTATTGTTTATAGAAAATTGCTAAAAAGAGGTGTAATATTGGCAGGAATGTGACCTGCTTTCATTTTAGCCACACTCCACAACGCACCATAGTAGAAATAATGCAGTAATATCTACAGTAGGTCCGAGATAGAACATAGCGTCACCCCAATGTTGCGGCTGTGGTTAGTTCTGAGCTTTTATACAGAAGGCATTGTTGTGAATATTGTGGTACTGTAATGTACAGGGTTGTAGCTGTAGAAAAATAAGGATGGGTGGTACTATAGACTTATTAAGGTTGGGTGGGTGATAACATTGGTATAAACTCAAATTAATATTAATGAGTGGATTTTAAGGATGGCCAAGCGGGTTATTAATGGTGGGTGGAGGGCCAGGAAATAAGCTTTAGACTGGGTGGAAAACTTAGAGACCGGGTGGCCCCCTTCAATCTCTGCCCAGCATAACTACTGTACATCCCTGTGTAGCTCTGTCCGAAAGTGCCTTAAGCGTGTAATTTATTACTGCTGAGTTTAAGAAATCTCATTCCTGTTCATTTTGTCCTCTTTCCTTTATCAACATGGATTCAGGCATTATTCTCTGTTGCCAAGATTGCTGTCATTTCCAAGAATTTCTGCATCTCATTTTAAGCATGTGATTATGTTGCCTGATGCTATCTGCAATAATTAGCATATTTTTGTGATGGGTTAGATTTCATTTGTGTGGATTCTTGCATCTAGGGATGCAATTCCTATTGTATTTCACTATTGAAGTGTGATCAATAGTGTGATTATTTACTTGAGCCCACATAAATTATGTAATGCCTACGGAAAAGGTAAAGATCCTGCAGACTGAGTCTCTTTACTTGCTGTCTTACTTTTAGTGTGCACATATTTTTATTCTATTTTATATATTATTTTATTCGTTTATTATTTTATTTGTACTAACGAACAGCGATAACAACCGCCACTAACAGGTTAAAATATATAAAAACACAAAAATGCATTTATAAAATGTTTATGTAAAATAGATATAAAAAATACATTAAAAAGTACTAATAACCTTTGATTTAAAGATATATAAACTGTCAAAAAAAATATCAATATCAATATTGGACATACTATAACCACTGTATCACTTAAAACTATAAAACATAAAATACACAAAAAATAGAAAGTAAATATACAAAAATATAAATACAGTTAAGAAAAAAATGTTATTAAAACTATTAAAAACTACAATCAGGTGGAGGACAGTCAGAGCCGTGGGCCCCTAGGGACCTATTCTGAAATGTCTTGATTATCAACAAGGACCGTGCGAGGTGTTGTCACCTCACTGTTAGTCAGAAAATTAGTCCCTATAATAGCAAACATGAAAAATGATTTACTTATATAATTGTTTTTGAGTCTACATCAAATGTTTTATTTTCATGTTTAAATTAAGTTGCTGTAAGTTAAGTAAGTTTAGTATGTTATTTTTGAATTTCTGAAAACACTTTGAAAAAAAAAATTACCTTAAAAAATAAAGTAAAATTTTTTTCTACCAAAGTCAATTTGTGGTTTGAAATGTTATAAAACTTATATAATTGTTTTTGAGTCTACATCAAATGTTTTATTTTCATGTTTAAATTAAGTTCCTGTAAGTTAAGTAAGTTTAGTATGTTATTTTTGAATTTCTGAAAACACTTTGAAAAAAAAAATTACCTTAAAAAATAAAGTAAAATTTTTTTCTACCCAAGTCAATTTGTGGTTTGAAATGTACATGCCTGCATCCAAGGTCGATCGACATAAACATATATTGTTTGGAAACCAGTAGGTCCACTGATAAGTGTTAGATAACTTGGTATAAAACATACTCCAAATAACGTAAGACTTGTCATTGTGATTCAATATTTATACATGAATCATTCCTGATGATGATCTAATAAAAGATCAAAATATTGAACAATAGTCTTAGATATGATTACTCAAAACATTTCTATCATGAAAGTTATCAAATATATAAAAAAAAAAAAAAACCTGAAACCCTAATTTCATCAAAAATATGACTTCAATACATATTAGTTACACCCAAACAGAATTGGCTTATTCTGAACAACAGTCTTAGTATACAGTACAGTAATTTACTCAAAAAATTTCTATCATGAAATTTATAAAATTTATCAAAAAACCTGAAACCATTTCATTAAAACATGACTTCATTTTTCTTGAATATATTTATTGTTCTACAACATAATTTTACCAAGATACCTCACATTTGAATTTACATACCATAGTCATGCCTGCTTATTATTAATGTTATTGGATACCATAATTATCACATTTAAAGTGGGACATAGGCTA